TTTTTTTTTTGGTACCAGCGATCAAACTCAGGACCTTGCACTTGAGAGGCATGCAGTACCACTGAGCTAAATCCCCAGACCACTAATACATACTTTTTTAAAAAACTATGACTTTGTTTGTTGTGAGGATTTTCCTGTCAAACATCCCTTTTAGAGAGGAGCTCTAGAGGAGAAGTAAAATTTGGAGTAGACATGGAACAAAATCTACCACCATTAAGTCTTGCTGTTAAAGAATGAAATTGTCTCCGGGTGTGGGGGCACATGCCTGTAATCCCAGCACTCAGGAGGCTGAGTGAGGCAGGAGGATCACTGTGAGTTCGAGACCAGCCTGAGCTACATAGTTAGTGAGTTCCACAGGTCAGTCTCAACTACACAGTGAGACCCTATCTCAAAAAACCAAAAAAAAAAAAAGAATGAACTTGTCAAACCTCCCCTTTCAAAAAAGGAAGTTTGCAGCCCAGCATAGTCTCAACAGTTGTGAGACTGAGGGAGGGTCACTGAATCCAGGAGTTCAAGACCAGCCTGGGCAATCTATCCCATCCCAAAACAAAAAGGCTACAGTCTTTTTTTTTCTTTTGTGATACTGGGTATTGAACTCAGGACTTTGTGCTTACAAAGCAGGCGGTGGAAACCCACAGTCTTAAAACACACAAGAAAATTGCTTTCAGGGCTGGGGATTTAGCTCGGTGGTGCCGCCACTTGCCTCACAAGTGCAGTCACGAGTTCGATCCCCAGTACCAAAAGAAAAAAAAAAAATACATTCACATTCCATAAATGTAATTTTCAAGATGAGATCACTCAAGAGTTTCTCCTTGGCTAGGAAATAAGTTTGATTGCAGTAGAACATAGTCATATAGTCTCAATGCTGATGACCAAAGGTGGCTGTAGAACACTTTAAAGTTAATTGAGAATTCTTTGAACTGTTTTGATCCTTTGATCTTTTTCTTTTAATTTTTTTTTTCTTTTATGGGTTCAGTCTTTTGTCAGCAAAGTAGTGTTTTCATTCTGTGATCTAGTCTTTGATATTTGTAGAACAATACATCCTATAATAATCATAGGATATGCCTTACAGACTACTGTAAGTCATAGACTGAGAAATTATGAATCTGAAGCTGAAATGTACTGTTTATAAAACTTACATGATGGGTAAAGTTCTCTAAGTGTTGTGGGTTCTTCTCTGTTCCCGAAGAGTAATGAGCCTCATGAAACCATGCCAATTGCTGCCTTTGGACAGAAACAGCGGCCATCCCGATTTTTCGTGACCCCACCACGGTTACATTATACTCCTCCTCTCCAGTCACCAATTGCAGTAAGTAATATTTTAGAAACACCATCAATATTTTAATTATTCTGAATACAGTCTATGTTCTTATGAAGTATGTATCTGTTATAATAACTTTATGCATTACTTGTGTTGCTTTGGGGTATCAAATATATAGTAAGTACAGTGGACTCTCAAGTTATGACCAGGCTGACATACAAAAAACTTGGGTTAGTTAGGTTAGTGGAAGATTCATCTCCATCTTGTTATCTGCAGCATGTACCCAGGTAAACATCCAGATCTCAGCTGAATTGACCTAGTTTCAACCAGCCCTCAGAACCAATGAAGTTCATAAGTCAAAGGTCCGCTGTAGTTACTGCAAGTCTGGAAATGTTTTCCCTCTTACGGGATTTTAATGAATTAAATGTCATAGAACTTCTTCATCTAAAAATAAGATACTTTTGAACAGTCAGTGATTGTGTTCTATTCCCATAGGACAGTGATCCTTTATTAGGACAGTCACCTTGGAGAAGTAAAATTTCTGGCTCTGACACTGAAACATTGGGTGGTTTTCCAGTAGAATTCCTTATTCAAGTGGTAAGAATTGCTCTGAATATCTTCCTGTTTATTTAAAAACTTGGTCTTTTGTGTTATTAAAACTTGAAAATTGTTTAGGGACAAATACTTTTACATTATGTAGGTTTTAAGGACTGCTGTTTTTGACTGGAGATTTAGCTCAGTGGCAATGTGCCTGCCTCGAAAGTGCAAGGTCCTGAGTTCAATCCCCAGTACCGGGAAAAAAAATAAAAGGACTGCAGTTTTCCAGATTAAAAAGGACTACTCTTTTCAACAAAGCTTGAAAATGAAAGTTAGCAAAAAATGTCAACGGTCTTTCTTATTTGGCTTTTTTTGTAAGAGTGACTATTTACACTTTAATTACTTAGGGACTAGACACCAAGAAACCTAAGTGTAAACCAGATGTGGTTTACAGTGCCCCACACTGTCATGCCAGCACTCTTGGGAGACTGAGTAGGATGACCGAAAATACAAGCCCCACCTGGGCCTTTTAGCAAAACCTGGACTCGAAAAATAAAATAGTGCTGAGGATATAACTGGGTTCCATCCCCAGTAACTAACACACACACACACACACACACACACACACACACACACACACACACACACACTGTATATTGAAATAAGTATGTAAGTATTTTATGTAGTAATCTTCTTGAATGGCCTCAAAAATGTAAGGAATTGTTGGTTTTCAAAATTAGATTAAATAAATCATTCAGTTTAAATCACAGTCAAGTACTATTTTTTTAAAAAATAGCTACTTTGGTTTGAGGTAGGAATAATCTTTGTAAGTAAAGATGTTGATAACCAGGTGTGGTGGTGCATACCAGTCCTAGTACTCAGAGTATGAGGCTGGAAGATCACAAGTTTGAGCCGAGCCTGTGTTGTATAGTGACTTCATGAGACTCTGTCTCAGAAAATAGAAAAGCTCGGGGAGTTAGCTTAGTTGAAAGCCCTGAGCTCAGTACCTAGTACCAGTGGAAAAAAAGATGTTTATAATAATCCATTAAAATATTCAGTTCTTAGAACCAAGATATATCATGTAAAGGTACAAGATCCCAATGATAAACGTAACTGTATTGTTTGCTTTGAATGTACAAATAAACTTAATGAGAAAAAAATACTCAGTTCTTAACCTTTTGGCAGTTGATGCTATTTTGCAGAAAAATTTTGTCATTTGTGTGCATGTGTATAGCATTTTGTATTAATCTTATGTTCTTAATTACCCTTACAATATAAAGTTTCATACATCTTTTGGCTTCCAAAGGTAGAATCTTGCTATGTAGTTCAGGCTGGCCTTGAACCTGCGGTAGTTCTCCTCCTCCGCCTCCTGTGTGCCAGGGCTACAGGCATAGTCCACCACACTTGGCCCAAAGGTAGATATTTTCATGTAAGAGATTGAAAATATGAGAAGATCCAAGACTTACCCCTTTCACAAATGGGACATGGAACACTTTCTGGGGGAGTGGGGGGCGGGTTGAGAGAGGTCCAGAGAGAACCATACGCAAAAGGAACCACAGCTAATTACTACTATAGCACATCTAAAGAACTGATATTTTGGGGGCCAGGGAATTAGCTCAGTGGTTCCACCGCCTGCCTCACAAGTGCAAGGACCTGAGTTCGATCCCTGGTAACCCCCACACAAAAAGAAAAGAATTGATATTTTGATTGATACTTACATGTTTTTTTAAATTTAATAGAGTTTGTTTTTCTAGTTTTAGGTTCACAGAAGTATTGAGAATAAAGTGCAGATATTTTCTGTGTATCTCCTGCCTAACACAGTCATAGTCCCCCTACCCTGTCAGCATCTCCCACCAGAGTAATACATTTATTACAGTTAGTAAAGCTACATTGACAACATATCCCCCAAAGGCCAGAGTGTTCATTAGGGTTCACTCTTGTTGTTGCATATTTTGAAGGTTTAGACAAAGCTGTCAGTAATCACAGTATCTTTTGCATTCTGCCTTTTCATCCCTTTCCCTCAGCCTCAGACATCACTGAGCTTCTTATTCTCCCTAGTTTTGCCTTTCCAGAATGTCATGTAGTTGGAATCATACGGTATATTTACTTGTCAAATTTTTCACTTACTAATATACATTTAAATTTCTTGAGTATCTTTTTTGGGGGGAGGGTTGGGATTGAGAAGGGTCTTGCTATTAGTTCAGACTGGCTTTGAACTCACTAGGAGGCACAGGCTGACCTTGAACTTGTGGCATTCCTGCTTCAGCCTCCTAAGTGCTAGGATTACAAGCATGCACTACTGTGCCCTTTTTTTTTTTTTTTTTTTTTTTAAAGACAGGGCCTTGCCTTATAGTCCAGGTTGGCCTCACTATGTAGCCCCAACTGGCCTCAAACTTGAGATCCTCCTGCCTCAGCCTCTGCAGGGATTACAAGCTGTACCACCATGCCCAGCTCCTTCTGTCTTTTCATGACTTGATATCTCAGTCCTTTTAGCACTGAATCATATTCCATTGTATGAATGTGCCACCATTTGTGAATCCATTCACCTACTGAAAGATATCTTGATTGCTTCCAAGTTTTGAGATATGAATCATGGCTCTGCTGTAAACAGCTGTTTGCAACTCTTTGTCAAGACATGTTTTTCTCTCCTTTTGTGTCTTGTAAACTGTTGATTGCATCTAAAAGTTTGGTTAGATCATTCCTTCTTTGTTTAAAAGCTGAGATAGTTAAGAACTTCCCCAATCAGTTGTTTTCCTAGTGGTAATGGTTTATAATGAAAATACAAGATAAATGTTATACTTTCTGCTTTGCCACCCCCTCCCCACCCGACCCATATCAAGGATCAAACTCGGACAGGTGGGAGTGGGAGCGGAGCTACTACGCTAAATCCCTGGCCTGCAATTTTCTAACAATACTTTTTTTTCCTTTTGGTACTAGGAATCGAATTCAGGACCTTGTACTTGCAAGGCAGGCATGGCAGGCACCATTGAGTAAATCCTCAACCCTAACAATACTTAATTTTAGGATTTTTTTTTCTTTTTTTTTTTAGAATCAATGTGAGGGGCTGGGGATTTAGCTCAGTGGGGATTTAGCTCAGTGGTTCCTCCACCTGCCTTGCAAGCACAAGGACCCGAGTTTGACCCCCAGTACCAAAAAAAAAAAGAATCAAAGTGAACTTATAGATTTGAACACTCATACTTCAGTTCTTCACAGTCATTATTCTTTTGGGGATTTTTTTGTTTTGTTTTGTTTTTTTTGAGACAGGGTCTCACTGTGTAATGAGACTGACCTGGAACTCACTGTGCAGCCCAGGCACACAGTGATCCTCCTGCCTCAGCCTCCTGAGAGCTGGAATTACAGACGTGCGCCACCACACCCGGCTCTCAGTCATTATTCTTATGGTTTACAAATTGTGCTATTTTGAGCTGTGAAAGCTTGACTCGGGACTTCTAACATGTCCTAATTACATGTGTTTTATTCTTTCTTTTTGGGGGGTGGGGTTACTGGGGATTAAACTTGGGACCTTGCCCTTGCGAGGCAGGCAGCAGAACCACTCAGCTACATCCCTGGCCTTATATAGATTTTAAAAATCATGTTTTCAGACCAGGGATTTACAGCATCTGCCTGGCAAGCATGAGGTCTTGAATTCAATGCCTGGTACCAAAAATGGTAATAATAATAATAATAATAATAATATTGTCAGCTAATCAAATATATAAAATAAAATGCTTTGACAGTATTTATATTGAGACACTAAAATTTGCTTAAATGTCATAGTGAAAAATTGGAAATTTGCTATCTGACTAAAATACCTAAGTGCCTCTGTTTATTCCAAAATGTTTCTTCTTTATAGACTAAATTATCAAAAATTCTCATGATTAAAAAGGAACATATCAAGAAATTAAGGGAAATGAACACAGAAGCAGAAAAACTGGTAAGGATTTTTTTTTTTTTTTAATAATTCCCTTTGTTTACTTGTGTTACTTTTTAAATGATGAAGCCTATATCTAATGGTTTTTAAATATCTTTTGGAAAATAACCTTAGGGTAAACATTATTTTTAAATCATCATTTGCTATCACTACTCTTGTAATGTTGAACATGTGCTAATAATAGCTGTGCTGTGCAGTGCATTGCCCCAGACCCCATTATGCTATTGAGTGTACAGCTGAGTAAGAGTCATGAAATTTTTAATAGATTGCAAGAGTATAGGAATCTGTAGAACAGGTGCATCTGTCTAAGGAAGTTAATGACAGTGATTTTTGGAGGGGTTTTTTGAGACAGGGTCTCACTATGTAGTTGAGACTGACCTGGAACTCATTATATAGCCCAGTCTGGTCTCGAACTCAACAATCCTCTTTCCTCAGCCTCCCAAGTGCTGGGATTATAGGCGTACGCCACCATGCCCCGCTAAAAATTTTTTCTAACAAGAATACAATTATGTTATTGTGTATTGGCTTATCTCATCTTTTTAAACTGTTATACCATAATTTAAGCAATCTTCTATTAATAAATATTTGGATTATACCAAAATAGTGCTATCTTTATACTAAAATATTTTTATACCGTTTTTATACTAAAATAGTGCTGGTTTTGTTCAAATAACTGTTTTTGTGTCTTGTCTGTAGTATAAGATTTTTTTTAACCAACACATAAAAATTTTACATATTTATTTTTATTTGTTTGTTTTTGTGGTACTGGGAATCAGCATGTTGCCGTTGATCTAAATCCCTGGCCCAAAAATTTTACATATTTATGAATTACATTTATGGAGTACCATGTGATACTTTAATCCGCCTATCTGTTGTATAATGTTCAAATCAGAATAAGCATATCTATTGCCTCAAATATTTGTCATTTCTTTGTGGTCTGAACGTTCAAAATCCAAAGACAAATTCTTAAAATGTCATCAGTATATGAAGTTTTTAAAGTTTTAATAAAAACTTTTAGTTTAAAAACTTAGCATGTGGGCTGGGGATTAGGCTCAGTGGTTCCGCCACCTGCCTTGAAAGTACAAAGACCCGAGTTCGATCCCTGGTACAAAAAAGAAAAACAAAAAAATTTAGCATGTGCTTTTTTCCCCCATTTCACAGTTCCACACACAATATGAAGTACAAAGAAGATAAAAAGTAGAACACTCTGCTTAACAACATGAGATTTTAGAATTTTTCCTGGCATATTATTAGGTGAAACAGAAACCATGGCTACAAGAAGGCTGCATACTGGAACCCTGAAGAAGAAGCTATAGGCAAGAGTTGGCAAATATGATGAAGTGCAGAAGTGTGAGACGCAGGACTTTTTTTTTTTTTTTTTTTTTTTTTTTGGTACTGGGGATTGAACTCAGGACCTTGCGCTTGCAGGGCAGGATGTAGGATTTTTGAAGGCAGTTACTTCAAGGTCCTTCTTCATCCTCCTCCTCCTCTTTCTTCCCAATGTTAGGACTCAAACATGGTATTTACTCCACAGAACAAAACAGACACTCTCAAAGGAATTTGAATTCACAATTTGAGAAAGATTAAGGTTTTCTTTCTGCTTTGGGTAATGGTAGACTCAGTAATTTGAATGAACGTTTTACTGAACAATTACTTCCTCTGTAATAAACTATTAAAGTAACTTGCTTGGAGACATAGAGCATTAACAATACATTAAGGAATTACAGGTTTTGAATCTAGGAAAGAAGGCAACTCAGAAGGGAGAACCTGGTGTTTATGGTTCCTTTTACTTGGGGACTGCAAGTTCTAGAAAAAGTGACTGAGAAACTCAGTGCACCTTTGAGAACCTTGCAGGAGTTGGGGAGACAAAACTAGATGCCAGAGAGTGAGGAGTGGATCCCAGAGATCCTGAGCAGCTCCCCCACCACTCCTGGCCCATGAAGATCTGCCACACCCGGGCGGAGCATCACCACAGGCAGCAGCTGGGACAAGAAGGTCATTACAATGAAGATTTGGGGAACAGTAAATGGTTCAGTTAAGAAACAGATATGAGGGGCCGGGGATTTAGCTCAGTGATTCTGCTGCCTGTCTCACAAGCACAAGGACCAGAGTTCGATCCCAGGTACCCAAAAAAGAAAAGAAACATTTCATCAACAAGAATGACATTAAGCAATCTGTATGCACCAGACTGCCATAAAGAACAACCCTAAGAAGTCCCTTCATAATGTAAGACTTGGAGAGACTGGAGTTTGATGTTGCTGAAGGAGAAAAGCGTGGAGATAGCAAATGTCTTAGGCCTTGGTGGAGTTTGCAGTTCAGGGCAGTAAATACACAGCACACATCACGTTCTAGGTGCTGCTAATGTTGCAGGGTCCTTTATACAGGTCCTGGCAGAATGTCCAAAACAGTGAGAGCTGGGGAATAATGAAGGCCCAAAGAGCACACCCAAAGGCCAGGCCTCTGCCGGCCTTACCCTGCTGCAGGTGAATGTTTCACCTTACTATATGTGGGAGACCCTGTGGGCCATGACCACAGGGTTCCAACCCTGTTGTGCAGGAGACCAAAATAGACCAGTGAGACAGAGTATATATTAGTTTTATAGACTGTGATTCAACAGGAACCTTCTCGCCAAACCCAGCCTAGAGAATATGTCAAGGAAGAATATAAGGACAGACTTGCTGAGGAGACCTGAAGTCAGCATCCAATTCAGTGTCCCTGCTGTTAGCTACCACAGCAGACACCCAGAAGACCCTAAATCACAAAATGGCAGAGACAAAGGCCTCTGATCCACCAGCAGAGAGCAGGGTGGGACCAAGTAAATGCAGGTTTAACATCTGCCACCATCTGGTTTAGTCATCCAACAAGAAACAAGTATGAAATTCCAGCAATAAGAAGTGAACAAAAGGTTGGAGCTAAAGACCTTAAGTGTTGCCATTTGCCCATTGACTAGGTAAATAGAACTATCCACAGTGTCTGTGCAGCATGGAGTTTTTATTATTTTTACCTAAAGACATCCTTTTTGGCTAATGACATTTTTTTAATTTTTATTTATTTATTTTTGGTACCAGGGATCAAACTCAGGACCTTGCACTTGTGAGGCAGGTGGCAGCACCACTGAAACTCGTTTTTTAAAAACCTGGTTTTGAGCCAGGCGTGGTGGTGCATGCCTGTAATCCCAGCACTCGGGAGGCTGAGGCAGGAAGATTGCTGTGCGTTCGAGACCAGCTTGGGCTACATAGTGAGTTCCAGGTCAGTCTCAACTACATGGTGAGACCCTGTTTAAAAAAAAAAACCTGGTTTTACAGGTCCAGGGCTCTGTTTCTGCCGCATGCTTCACAAGAACAAGATCCCGAGTTTGATCCCCAGTACCAAAAAAAATAACCTGATTTTCCTCAATACACCTTTAAAGTTTTTTTTTTTTACTACTTTATATCTGGTCAAGTTGAGGTTTTTAAGAACTTCATTTTTTATTTGGGTTGCTGCTTTTTTTTTTTTTTTTTGT